TTGATCCCAAGAGTTCAAGGCTGCAGTGAGGTGTGATCATGCCGCTTATAGCGCAGCCTGGGTGACACAGTGAGACCCTGTCTCTAAAAAACAAAACAACACCTAAGATGTAGGTTTTCTTTCCATTTAAACAGCAACTGATTTCTGAGCACATCATTTGTTTAAAACAGTAAAAACTTATATTACACCCAGAGAACAGGGGTTCACCAAAATACTTACTTTTTGTTTTTCATAAAGCTCCTGAATCATGTGCCTAAAGTCCCTTATTTTTTAAAAACACTACCATTTTTAATACTTTTTGTCACTTCTGCTGTATTTAACTTTAGTGTCACTCTATATCAAGACTGTACTCATTTCTTTATTTTAATTAATTAATTAATTAATTTTTTTTTTTTGAGACGGAGTTTCGCTCTTGTTACCCAGGCTAGAGTGCAATGGCGCCATCTCGGCTCACCGCAACCCCCACCTCCTGGGTTCAGGCAATTCTCCTGCCTCAGCCTCCTGAGTAGCTGGGATTATAGGCACGTGCCACCATGCCCAGCTAATGTTTTGTATTTTTAGTAGAGATCGGGTTTCACCATGTTGACCAGGATGGTCTCGATCTCTTGACCTCGTGATCCACCCACCTCAGCCTCGCAAAGTGCTGGGATTACAGGCTTGAGCCACCGTGCCCGGCCACTAATTTATTTATTTTTTAAGAGGCAGTTTAGCTCTTGTTGCCCAGGCTGGAGTACAGTGGCGTGATCTCAGCTCACTGCAACCTCCACCTCCCAGGTTCAAGTGATTCTCCTGCCTCAGCCTCTTCAGTAGCTGAGATTACAGGCATGCACCACCATGCCCAGCTAATTTTGTATTTTTAGTAGAGACAGAGTTTCGCCATGTTGGCCAGCCTGGTCATGAACTCGTGATCTCAGGTGACCCACCTGCCTCAGCCTCCCAAAGTGTTGGGATTACAGGCGTGAGTCACCACACCCAGCCATTTCTTATCTTTAGACCCTTATCTGACTATTCTTTCTTGCCAAATTCAGGTCCTATGTTCAAAATCATAAAATGGTCAAAATATCTTTTCAACTTATTTTTTGGTTTCCCAGATGGCCACAGGGTAAACTGTAATTCTCCCCTCAACTTATAAAAGGAATGATACTCAAAATAATTAGGTATCCTTGGTACTCTCCAGATTTTTAATGAGCTCCACACTCTGCACACTGCCCTATTATCAAATCCACAGTACGTGGAAGGCTAGCAAAGAAAAGTTCAACCTCCCCAGATTCATTAAACACAAGAAAAATGTTGTTCATATGAATGCATTTCAGCAACTGTTTACTTTTCAATTTCGATAGAAACATATTCATGTTCAGGTACAAAGACTGGCATGTAACTGTTAGCAAGATTAATCCTTTTATTTAAAAAAATAAAGACTGTTTCTAGATTAAATGTGCTCACCAGCTGGTGATGATTATGCAATTTATGGGCTCAATTAGAGGACCCTGGAGATTTGACAACCTTCTCACTGTTCATAACATGCTCTTGCTCTCAAGGCAATCACTGATGCAGTCTTACAAAATGATTACACGTCATTTGCAAACAGAAGACTTCAAGCTTTCAGTCTGATACAGGTAGTTATTACAAATTAACCGGAGACACTCCATCCTCCCATTCATAGATAATTCCTCCTTTTCACTTACCCTTGCCAAAGGGTTCCTGCTACAAGCTACAGATCAGAAAGTTCTCTGAAGAAGTATCAGGGGCCAGGTGTGGGGCTCATGCCTGTAATGCCACCCAGCACTTTGGGAGGCTTAGGCAGGAAGACTGCTTGAGCCCAGGAGTTCAAGGCTAGCCTGGACAACATGGTAAGACAAAATATATATATTTTCTTTATGTGTAGATACAAATATGTACATATCTGTATCTGTATATAAAGATGTATACATATGTACATATCTATATCTTTCTCTATGTAGATCTATATTTCTCTACACAGATAGAAATATCACATACAGATATGTACATATCTATCCAGAGAAAGAGAGAGATATAAAGAAATATCAGAAGAGCCTTGGTCAAAAAAGAACCAGGCTTCCTTGAGTGTTGATACCCTAGGAAACAGACTCAAAGGTACATGTTTCTCATCAGAATGTACCAAGGGTAGTCAGGCACAGTGGCTTATGCCTGTAATCCCAGCACTTTAGGAGGCCGGGGCAGGCAGATTGCTTGAGGTCAGGAGTTTGAGATCAGCCTGGCCAACATGGTGAAACCCCATCTTTACTAAAAATACAAAAATTAGGCAGGCATGTTGGTGCACCCTTGTAATTCCAGCTACTGGGTGAGGCTGAGACATGAGAAGCACTTGAACCCGGGAGGCAAAGGTTGCAGTGAGCCAAGATCGTGACACTGTACTCCAGCCTGGGTGACAGAATAAGACTCTTTCTCAAAAAAAAAAAAAAAGAACGAACCAAGGGACTATGTCTGGATTTCTAGGATCCTTTTTGTGTAGAAGGCAGCAATTCTGTGAAATAGACTGCTGTTAACGCAAGATCAGGGAAAATACAGATTATATAAAATAATACGACCTCATTTAACTGTAGTTAATGTTCTATTTCTAAGAGCCACACATGAAAAATTCTTTTCTTTCTTCTTGATCTATCCCTAAACTTCAACTTAACTGTTTTAATTTACAAACTGAAATGAAATACACATGCAGTGGTACCTTGCTCCAACTGACCCCTTAGAATTCAGAAAATAAAAATATAATAAAAATTATTAATATAAATAATGAGCTAATAAATTGTCATATAAACTTAAGAATGATTATGTAGAAAAATTACACATATTGATCCTTATCTACTAAAAATAATGGTTGAATGTTATACAAAGTCCCTTTTCTAAGTCTCTTCACTTTTTATGATCATGCTATTGACATACATTCAGTAAAAATTGTCTTGCTTCCAGGATATAGTGGAATAAATCAAATATCATGCCAAAAATCTCATTTCAATTATAAGCTAAGCCTGCTGGTAAAGAACAGAGAAGGCTTTGTATGGGGAGACAAGGCCCATCAAGTCCTCCCAGGAAACTGGCTGTTACCTGCTTTATTACCTATGAAACCCCAACCTCAACAGGTAGGAAAGATGTCACTGAATAGCAACAAACTTGAGCATCTCAGAGAAAGAGGTGGAGTTGAACTGGATGGTTTCTGATTCCTGAACTTGGGAGACAAGCTGACTGGGGTATGGGGACAAAAATCCAAATGCGGCCGGGCATGGTGACTCATGCTTGTAATCCCAGCACTTTGGGAGGCCGAGGCAGGCAGATCACTTGAGGTTAGGAGTTTGACACCATCCTGGCCAACATGATAAAACTCCGTCTCTACTAAAAATACAAAAATTAGCCAGGCATGGTGTCGCACATCTGTAATTCCAGCTACTTAGGAGGCTGAGGCAGGAGAATCAAGTGAACCCAGGAGGCAGAGGCTGCAGTGAGCCAAGATTGTGCCACTGCACTCCAGCCTGGATGACAGAGTGAGACTCAGTCTCAAAATAATAATAATAATAAAAACAAAAAACCCTAGGCCAGGCACAGTGGATCATGCCTGTAATCCAAGCACTTTGGAGGCCAAGGTGGGTGGATCACCTGAGGTCGAGAGTTCAAGACCAGCCTGACCAATATGGTGAAACCTCGTCTTTTAAAAAAAAAAAAAAAAAAAAAACAAATGCAATATGAACAAACAAAAGTCATGTCTGGCACAGTAAAAAAAAAACCTTACAACCCTAAGGGATTTATAAACTTCAAGACAGAAGTTAACTATTAACTTACTATATGACTACAGTTTTGCCAATCATATCACAAAGATGTCAAACATGACTATATAAATACAACAAAGCATTAAATAAATGACACTGAATCATAAAATTGCTAATCCAACTGCTATGGTCAAACCCCTGCCCTTAGAGACAGAGACCTGACCACAAGGAGGAACTACTGGAGCAAAGATGTCTCTGCCCTGCCATCATTCTGCCCAAGGGTGAACATCATGTGCCAGAGAGGAAAGGCAAACAAAACACGCTGTACTTGTGATACACTAAAAATAATCAGTTTACTGAAACATATAAGATCTTGAGCATTTCCTGCAAGTTAGACAATCATTAATAAAATGACTGTATCTCTGAATCGCGCACTGCTGATGTCTGAAAATGTCAGAACCTTATACATATGATAAACATGGGAGGAAGCAGCTGTTTTTCCACCGGGAACAGACTAATTGTCAACTTTGCAACCTTAACAACTCTGCAGGCGTTTCTCCTTTACTTGTATCTCTGTTATGCATATATGACTTCCTTGCAGCTTCTTTGCAAGTAAACATCTTTCCCTTTCTTGAGGCAATCCTGCTCAGTCACCCAGGCTGGAGCACAGTGGCACAATCTCGGCTCACTGCAACATGTGCCTCCTGGGTTCAAGTAGTTCTTGTGCCTCAGCCTCCTGAGTGGCTGGGACTACAGGCATGCGCCACCATGGCCAACTAATTTTTGTATTTTTAGTAGAGACCAGGTTTCACCATGTTGGCCAGACTGGTCTCGAACTCCTGACCTCAAGTGATCTGCCTGCCTTGGCTCCCAAAGTGTTGGGATTACAGGTATGAGCCACTGCGCCTGACCAACTTATTTCCCTTTCTAAGTACTTTTGTCTCTGACTTCCTTTCACAAAGGGAAAGACAAAAACCTTCTGAACAAATTCTAAGAGCCGTATCAGAGGAGATGCTACGGCATGTCACTCTGCTGTCATGACGTAACACGGTTACAATGAACAGCACCATGTTGGGTCTTGCTCTGTTGCATCTGGCTGGTAACATAACCAAATTTACGTGTTCAGTTGCCCAAGAAGCACATGCACCCGTGAAATACATACTATGCTAACGTACTGTAGCTTTCCTTCCAAGGTGGAACCATACATCCCTGATGCCACCCTGACACTGCTTCTCCAACTTCCCCACGGGTGCCACTCACCTTCACAGAATTGTCTTGACTGGAGGTAGCAAGAATGTGCTCGCTGTCTGGGTGCCAGTCCAGGCCATGGATTTTGGAGAGGTGGGCTGCTAGATATTCCACTGCTGTACTGGGTTTCTGCAACAGATCAGCACCGAATGCTACAGATTTAGAAAGAATTCATTGCATATCTACCATGTAAAAGTTTGCTAGCTATTGAGTGAGGATGCAAAAATACTACCAGATACTGTTTCTATCCTTCACAGACTTTGTTTTGGTTAAGCCAAACAAAACACCATCACCAAAACATTTCCCCAATTCTCCTTCACGTGCTCTGCAAATGCCCCTGTGAGCCTCACATCTTCCCACTTTAAAGAAGGATACAAGGTAGTGGGCGCTTTTCACCCCCTTTTTTGAGACGGAGTCTTGCTCTGTCACCCAGCCTGGAGTGCAGTGGCATGATCACAGCTGACTGCAGCCTCAACCTCCTGGGCTCAAGCAGTCCTCCCGCCTCAGCCCTCCAAGTAGCTGTGACTCCAGGTGCGCACCACCATGCCTGGCTAATTTTTTGTATTTTTTTTGTAGAGATGGGGTTTTGCATGTTGTCCAGGCTGGTCTTGAACACCTAGGCTCAAGCGACCCACCTGCTTTGGCCTCCCAAAGTGCTGAGATTACAGGCCTGATCCACCATGCCCAGCCTCACACGTTAATAGTGCAATCTGACAATTCCCACTCCCTTTCCTCAGGATCACCCAAGAAGAGGGGCTGAGACAACCGAACGGACCCAGCTTCAAGAAGAGGGTAAAACCATCCATCTTAAAGGGCTGGTGCCTAATATTCTGAAGGAGAATAAATGCACATCACAAAAGAAAACAATACATGCTTAATAAGCATATAGAAAATAAAGCTGAAGGAAACCTCGGAAATATACATTAAAACAAGATTTTTTTAAGCTGGCAAATTAGAAGACATTTGTAAAGAATGCTATTGAGGCTCCATTTGTCACTATCAGAGTGCATATAAAACAGTACAACCTTTTTTTTTTTTGGAGGCAGAGTCTTACTGTATCCCCCAGGCTGCAGTGCAGTGGTGCCATCTCGGCTCACTGCAACCTCCACCTCCCGGGTTCGAGCGATTCTCCTACCTCAGTCTCCCGAGTAGCTGGAATTACAGGCACCTGCCACCACACCCAGCTCATTTTTGTATTTTTAGCAGAGACGCACTTTCGCCATGTTGGTCAGGCTGGTTTCGAACTCCTGACCTCAGGCAACCCGCCTGTCTTGGCCTCCCAAAGTGCTGGGATTACAGGCGTGAGCCATGTCTGGCCAAAACAGTACAACCCTTTTAGGAAGAAATTTGGCAAGATTTATACAGAGACTTAAAATTTTCTACAACAAAGCCACAGCTCATATGAAGAAGAAAAAAAAAATTTTTCCTTTCTTTTTTTTTGAATTTTGTATGTTTTTGAAGAAATGTAGTCCTGCTATGTTGCCCAAATTGGTATTAAACGCCTGGCCTCAAGCAATCCTCTTGCTATGGTCTCCCAAAGTGCTGGGATTACAGGCTTGAGCCACTGTGCCTAGCCCACAATTTTTCCTGTCTTAAGAGAATAATCCAAACTCATAGAAAGCTTTAGATATAAAAGCAGTTCATCCTGATGTTATCTGAAACACTAGAAAACCAGAAAAAACATAAATGATCAACAAAAGAGCAATAATGAAATGAATCACATATTACAGCTATGTGACACCATAAGATGATACATATGATGTAGCCACTGAAAGTTAGAAAGAGCTTATAGCACAAGGATAATGCATCTGTTGTAGTGTCAAACAAAAAAGTGTACACAACTATGTACATGGTATGACAAACTAAGTTAAAAAAAAAAAAAAAAAAAGCAGGCCGGGCATGGTGGCTCATGCCTGTAATCCCAGCACTTTGGGAGGCCGAGGTGGGTGGATCACGAGGTCAAGAGATCGAGACCATCCTGGTTAACATGGTGAAACCCCATCTCTACTAAAAATACAAAAAATTAGCTGGGCATGGTGGCGCATGCCTGTAATCCCAGCTACTCAGGAGGCTGAGACAGGAGAATTGCCTGAACCCAGGAGGCGGAGGTTGTGGTGAGCCGAGATCGCACCATTGCACTCCAGCCTGGGTAACAAGAGCAAAACTCCATCTCAAAAAAAAAAAAAAGCATAGGAACAGAAAACACCAAAAGGTTAGCAATTGTCTCTGGGTAGTAGGACTATTAATGATTTTTATTTTTTCATTTATATTTTCTACAGAGAGCAGGTATTACTTCCATAATTAGCATTAGTCAATGAGGTTAAGTGTGCCGTCTCCAGGCTGGGTGCAGTGGCTCACACCTGTAATCCCAGCATTTTGTGAGGCCAAGACAGGAGAATCACTTCAGACCAGAAGTCAAGACCAGCCTGGGCAACATAGTAAGATTCTCATCTCTACACAAAAAACTTTTTTTAATTAGCCCATCATGATGGTGCACATCTGTAGTCTCAGCTACTCAGGAGGCTAACTCGGGAGGATCACTTGAGTCCAGGACTGTGAGGCTGCAGAGAGTTACGATTGTACAACTGCACTCCACCCTAGGAGACAGGGAGACTGTTTCAAAAACAAAAAACAGTGCTGTCTCTAGAACCAGCCTGCCTGGATTCAACTTTTGGCAGCAAATTGTGCTTTGGTTTACTCATGTGTAGAAAAGGGATGTACTGTCTGGGCGCGGTGGCTCACACCTGTAATCCCAGTACTTTGGGAGGCCAAGGCAGGTGGATCACCTAAGGTCAGAAGTTCGAGACCAGGCTGGCCAACATGGTGAAACTCCGTCTCTACTAAAAAAAATAAAAAAATTCGCTGGGCATGGTGGTATAGGCCTGTAATCCTAGCTACTCAGGAGGCTGAGGCGGGAGAATCACTTGAACCTGGGAAGTGGAGGTTCCAATGAGCCAAGATCGCGCTACTGTACTCCAGCCTGGGCGACAATGCAAGACTGTCTCAAAAAAATAATAATAATAATAAGATGCACCTGCCCAACCTCTACGGAATCACCTTCTCACCTAAGAGCTACGTAAGGCAGAGGGCTTCTGCCACACAAGGCTTCCATAGCATGTCCTGGAGCCTAATGCAGCATACAGGATGTGCCATGCCTAATCTCTGCTCCACCTCCCACTTCTCTTTCAAATGTACAAAGGGAAGGGAGCAGTCAGAATACAACGGGGACATCCCAGAACAAGCCCTCCCCACAACGCCTGAACATCTCTGGCCCCAGGTCTCACAGGCAGAAAGCAGGATTTACACCCAGGTCCGATGGCAGTGACCGCTCTGTTCATTATTACCCAACGGTCTGGGAGTAAAATGCGGGGGAGGCCTTTTCCCTGTACCATGACCCTCACTGAGGCCAACACGACCAATTTCAGTAGACTTTCCATTCTAGTCACAGCTAAGGACCCGCCACTGTTTCCATCCCTAGGTGTCTACAGGCTGCTGCAGTGAGAACATATGATTGATGTGCAGGCAACTTTGGGGCTGATGGGATGTCTAGGCTTGTAAGGGGAAATTTAAGCATAATGAGTGCCCTGCCTCACTCATCATTACTGGAAGTACTCAGGATGGCAGATGTCCAAGAACAATAACATTTCACCTTGCAAACAGGCAGGGATAAGAAGACTGCTGGCAAGTCTAAGATAGCATTAAGCTCCACACCTTAATGCCAGGGATACACACATTGTTATTATCTTATTTTGAAGGAAACTGAGGCTAAGAGAAGTGCAGTGGCTTAACTGGTGTCACAATCAGGAAGTGGCAAAACGGGGCTGATTTTCTTCAACCACTGGTCCTAATGTCTCACTTCCCTATCTTCCTTCAACATTGGATTGAGACACAAATGTCATCTGGTACTATGAGCTTAAAATGACCATTTACCATGCTGCACAGGGTTCCCAGATTCTCAAGCCAAGTCCTGGCACTCATAAAATCATCTTCACACCCTCCGGGAGGGATCAAAGACCAACGAAGGGGAGAAAAAGAGATTACTCACCCTCTTATCCCATATCCGCACATCGCCGTCATGGCTGGTGGCAAGGCAGTTAGCATTTTTTTTATTCCATTTGACCTGGGAGGCACCCGCTGCAAAGAAAAATCAGGGAAGAAAGCTGCTGCCCTTGGTGCTTTTGGAAGCAGAGCGGAGCACAGCCAGGGAGCTGGATAATGAGTTCTGGCTGAATAAGCCCAGAACCCTTTAAGTTTCTATGACTGCACCAACTCCACTATTCCAGATGAAACGAAGCCAAAAAATAACTGAATTAACACATGGGAACAGGATCATAGTCACCTAATTGAGGAAATAATCTCAGGGAAAAAATCTACAGGTTACTCTGAGCAGATGCAGCAGGAGAACCTAGTTTCTTAGAGAGCAGCAGTTAAGCATGGCACTCCTGGCTGGTAATTGACTTGTCATGCAACCTAACCCTTTCTCATCCCCAAATAACACCTGCTCACACTCCTAATCAGAAAAGCCTCAGCTCTCAGGCCTGCGCCTTCTTTTTGTTAAATTGTTGAGCAACAGTCTTAGATAAACACAGCCTTAGCTGAAGATCAGCTACAGAATAAGCCCCACTGTTGACCAATTCTGCCTCAAGGATTACAAGCTCTCCATACCCCATCTCCCTGCCAGCCATGGCCACTGGCACCACATTGATCAGGGAAAGGGAACCCCCTTGGCAGTGTGTGACCTCAGTTCTTCTCCTTCTCTGCCAATAGAGAGTGTCATTGATACATTAGTGACAAAAGAACTACTTAAGACAGGATGCATAATGTGAGAGGCCAGAAAGAGCTGAGACATATAGAAAATTGGGACATAGTGACACTTCTGGCTGACTGTTAAAAATGAATCATTAATCCAGAACCAAACCAGAACCGAACTGACAGCACTCCTTCCTGCCTCCTCCTGTCCTCCCTCACAGCACACATGACATTACTGCTGTGATACTTTTCCCTCTGCCTGGTGTTTATTACTGGGGAGACCCATAGTAGATCCACGGCTTTGGAGAGCTACCTGATCCAAGAAGCCCAGAGTATGACAGATCAAGGACTCAGAACCTAGCAGGACATGGAGCATTAGGCCTAGAACTAGGTCCTGTCCAAGGATATGTTGTTGGTTTTGGTGAGGCTATTGGTCATGTTCTTTCTTGACACATAGGATATCTTAAGTCATCTAAGAACAAATAGTGGAGACCAGTGAAGATGAAGCAATAAAGAGTATTAGGAGGTGCAGTTTATTTGCAAGAAAAGATACCAGCTGAAGGAGAAAGTGACTGAGAAGAGCTTGCTCTACCTCCTCTTGACAGAGTTACTTAAGTGTCCAAGAGAACACATCTTTCTCAGTGGGGGGGCATCAGAACGGGAGGGCTCCCAAAGGACCCTGGGAACTCCCAAATGCAACCTGCTTTATCAAGATGATTATTACACCAGGGCCCAGGCGTGGTGGCTCACACTTGTAATCCCAGCACTTCGGGAGGCCAAGGCAGGTGGATCAGCTGAGGTCAGGGGTTCAAGACCAGCTTGGCAAACATGGCGAAACTCCTTCTCTACTAAAAATACAAAAATTAGCCAGGTGTGGTGGTGTGCACCTGTAATCTCAGCTACTCAGGAGACTGAGGCAGGAGAATCGCTTGAACCCAGGAGGGGGAGGCTGAAGTAAACCAAGACTGTGCCACTGCACTCCAGCCTGGGCAACAGAACAAGACGCCATGTCAAAAAAAGAAAAAAATCATTATACCAGGGTCAAATGGAGGTCCCAAGCTATGAGAGCTCCCAGACACAGAGAATACAAAGTCACAACGTGACTCTGTACCCCAAAGGGCATAAATAATGTGCCCCCTGAAAGATGAGGACCACAGACTCTGGGGAGCAGGCAGTACCCAAGGCTGCACCACTCGGGGAATGTTAGATCCAGCAGCTTATCAAGGTCCACAAGCCTCTCACTTTCCTCTTTTACCCCAGGGTAGCTCTGCCACCACTGAGAAACCACACTGAATACAAAGGAAAGAAGTCTCCTACTTCCATTTGTCACAAAGATCTGTAACAGAAAAAAAAAAAAAAAACACAATGAGAACAAGTAAGCTAAAAAATGAACCAGTTTCAGCCAGGCGCAGTGGCTCATGCCTGTAATCCCAGCACTTTGGGAGGCCAAGGTGGGTGGATCACTTGAGGTCAGGAGTTCGAGACCAGCCTCGCCAACATGGTAAAACTCTGTCTCTACTAAAAATACAAAAAATCCCAGCTACTCAAGAGGCTGAGGTGGGAGAATCACTTGAACGCGGAAGGTGGAGGTTGCAGTGAGCTGAGATTCTGCCACTGCCCTCCAGCCTGGATGACAGAGTGAGGATCTGTCTCAAAGAAAAAAAAGAAAGAAGTGGTTTCTAACTTCACAAATCATTCATCCAGCTGCTTAATACAATCATGATGCTAAAGGCCTTTAAATAAAAAGGCATGGGGATACAGAGGGAAAAAGAACTATGTACAGCAACCATTTCAGAGCAAACACCAAATGTGTGTTCCAATGCACCAAGGAGATACAAAGGGACAGGACTGAACACATAGATAATACATGCTTTTAAAAAGGATGCCAAAATACTGACAATTCAGTTTTATCCCTCTGAATAAGTTATACCAGTTTTTTGTTTGTTTGTTTGTTTGTTTGTTTTGAGACAGAGTCTCTCTCTGTCACCCAGGCTGGAGTGCAATGGCACGATCTCAGCTCATGCAACCTCCACCTCCCAGGTACAAGCAATTCTCCTGCCTCAGCCTCCCTATTAGCTAGGATTACAGGCGTCCATCACCATGCCTGGCTAATTTTTGCATTTTTAGTAGAGACAGGGTTTCATCATCTTGGCCAGTCTGGTCTTGAACTCCTGACCTCATGATCCACCCACCTCAGTCTCCTAAAGTGCTGGGATTACAGGCGTGAGCCACTGCACCCAGCCAAGTTATACCAGCTCTATTCCACATTCTACTCTCAGGAAGTGGTGGGAATATTCCCTGGTAGCCCCAACTGAGAATTCCAGAAACGGTCAGTTTCAACTAAGCCATGAGAACAGGCAGATCAGAAAGTAACTTAAAGGACTTGGTTCATCCATGTTAAACGACACCATACACACAATCAGCATAATCTAATTGGGGAGAAACTACAGGATAAACCATTGCTTTAATAAACTTCAGGAAAAGAACAACACACATCCAAAAAGAAGAAGGAGAAAGACTTAAAAAGATGAGAAATATATCAACCACTTCCAAGTATGGACTTTGTTTGGATTCTTATTCAAACCATTGTTCAAACAATTTGTAACTAAAAAGAGAGAAGATTGGAGAAATCTGAGTACTGCTTAGATACTTGATGATACTGAAGATTTACTTTTAATATTTTTCAGTATGTTAGGTATTTTTAAGTATGGTATTGTGGTTACTTTTTTGTTCAGGGAGTCTTCTTTTGTAAAAAAAAAAAAAATATATATATATATATATATATACTAAAATACTTGAAGAAATGATATGACACCTAGCTTCAAAATAATCACAAGGGGGCCGGGCATGTTGGCTCACGCCTGTACTCCCAGCATTTTGGGAGGCTGAGGCAGGAAGATCACTAGAGGTCAGGAGTTGCAGACCAGCCTGGCCAACATGGTGAAACCTGTCTCTACTAAAAATACAAAAATCACCCAGGCGTGGTGGTGGGTGCCTGTAATCCCAGCTACTTGGGAGGCTGAGGCAGGAGAATTGCTTGAACCTGGGAAGCGGCAGCTGCAGTGAGCCGAGATCACACCACTGCACTTCAGCCTGGGCAACAAGAGCGAGACTCTGTCTCAAAAAAGAAAAAAAATCACAAGGAGGATGAAGGTGGAGGTGAAATGGTGGGTGGAGGAAAAGATAAAGTAAAACTGGCTGTATGATGACAGGTGTTGAAGCCGATGATGAACACAGGCAGTTCATTTTCTTCTCCCTATTTTTACAGAATGTTTGAAATTTTCCACTATAAAAAGGTTACAATCAAATCAACTTGCCTCTTGTCCTTGGACTCTGAAATGAGGTCCTCCTCCACACCCAACAGTCTTAACTGTGGCTTTTGCGAGCAGCCTAAAGTAAGCCCCTTCCAACAACATGGGACTTACAAGTCCACTCAGCCATGGCACAGCCTGGGCATAGGTGGTCAGAGAGGGAGATGGCAAGGAATAGGAAGGAACGGAAAGAACTGGAAGGAATAAAATGAAGACACATCGGGACGCCAGGGTGAGGCAGGAGAAGCATACACTCACCAACAGCAGACAGTGCAACGGTGGGTTTCCTTGTGTCTCTGAAATATAAAAATAAAAAGTCAAATGTCCGATATACACACCACCAGCCACCTGGTGTTCTTCACCCTTTGCACACATTTCTTTGCTTTCCTTTCAGTGGGATGGTGTTGGGAGATCTGCGGCGAGGGCCTTAAAAAGAGGTGTAAGGCCCGGCGCAGTGGCTCAAGCTTGTAATCCCAGCACTTTGGGAGGCCGAGGCGGGTGGATCACAAAGTCAAGCGATCGAGACCATCCTGGTCAACATGGTGAAACCCCGTCTCTACTAAAAATACAAAAAATTAGCTGGGCGTGGTGGCGCGTGCCTGTAATCCCAGCTACTCAGGAGGCTGAGGCAGGAGAATTGCCTGAACCCAGGAGGCAGAGGTTGCAGTGAGCCGAGATCGCGCCATTGCACTCCAGCCTGGGTAAGGAGAGTGAAACTCCGTCTCAAAAAAAAAAAAAAAAAAAAAAAAAAAAGAGGTGTAATGAGAGACCTGCTTCCCTTGAGGTAGATCAACTTCCTCAGCCACTTCAGTGAGGCCGTGTCTTAATTTCAAATCGCAGAGTTTTATCCAAAGAAAACAAGGCCAGGTGCAGTGGCTTACGCCTGTATTCTCAACACTTTAGGAGGCACTTTGGGAGGCCAAGTCAGGTAGATCACCTGAGGTCAGGAGTTCGAGACCAGCCCGGCCAACATGAAGAAACCATGTCGCTATTAAAAAAAAAAAAATACAAAAATTAGGTGTGGTGGTATATGCCTGTAATCCCAGCTACTTGGGAGGCTGAGGCAGGAGAACTGTTTGAACCCGGGAGGTGGAGGTTGCAGTGAGCTGAGATTGTGCCATTGCACTCCAGCCAAGATGACAAGAGGGAAAGGAAAGGAAAGGGAAAGAGAGAAAAAACAAATTACAGGCCATGTACAATGGTTCACACCTATAATCCCAACACTTTGGGAGACCAAGGTAGAAGGACTGCTTGAGGCCAAGAGTTTGAGATCAGCCCGACAGCAGAGCAAAACTCTGTCTCTACAGAAAAAAAATAAAAAATAATAATTAGGCTGGGTACAGTGGCTCATGCTTATAATCCCAGCACTTTGGAGGCCGAGGTGGGCAGATCACGAGGTCAGGAGTTCAAAACCAGCCTGTTCAATATGGTGAAACCCCGATTCTACTAAAAAATACAAAAATTAGCTGGGCATAGTGGCGCATACCTGTAGTCCCAGCCCCTCGGGAGGCAGAGGCAGGATAATCACTTGAACCCAGGAGGTGGAGGTTGCAGTGAGCCGAGATCATGCCACTGCACTCCAGCCTGAGTGACAGAGTGAGACTACATCTTAAAAAAAAAATTAGCTGGGCATGGTGGCAAGCACCTGTGGTCCCAGCTACTCAAGAGGCTAAGGTGAGAGGATTCCCTGAGACCAGGGGTTCAAGGCGGTACTGAGCTGAGATGACACCACTGCGCTCCAGCCTGGGTGACAGAGTAAGACCCTGTCTCAAAAAACAGAAAGTAAAGAAAGTAGAAAGGAAGGCCAGGCGCGGTGGCTCAAGCCTGTAATCCCAGCACTTTGGGAGGCCGAGGCAGGTGGGTCACGAGGTCGAGAGATCGAGACCATCCTTGGTCAACATGGTGAAACCCCGTCTCTACTAAAAATACAAACAATTAGCTGGGCATGGCGGCACGTGCCTGTAATCCCAGCTACTCAGGAGGCTGAGGCAGGAGAACTGCCTGAGCCCAGGAGGCGGAGGTTGCCGTGAGCCGAGATCGCGCCATTGCACTCCAGCCTGGGTAACAAGAGCGAAATTCTGTCTCAAAAAAAAAAAAAAAAAAAAAAAAAGAAAGAAAGTAGAAAGGAAAGAAAGACAGGAAGAAAACAAAAACAGGAGGGAAGGGGGAAGGTGAAAAAGAGGGAGAGGGGAGGGGGTAGGGGGAGGGAGGAAGGAATCTGACTAGGGAAGAATTCTCCTTAAGGTCTTGCCTAGAGAGGTCTTAGCTCTCATCTCCATCCCCCTATAACCGTGTCTTTCACTCCCAAATAATATATTTGCACTCAAATCCTGGGCTCAAAGTCTGTGTCAAGGGGAAACCAGTAAGACACTTGATCGCTAAAGCAAAGGTCCCAAATCACCCTCAACCAAGTGGTTACACCGCCTAATTGTTCTTACTTGATATCCCAAATGTAGATGTAGGTGTCCACAGAGCTGGTAACCAGGAGATCTGGCTCAAACACTGCCCAGTCCAAGTCGCTGGGACACAAATAACAAACAGAACAAAGAAAAGAAAAAAAAAAAAATTCAGAGTCCAGGTCCAAAGCACTAGCACATCCAGTCTCCAGGGGCTTCAGAATGCCACTGTTGATGGACTTCTTAATGTGGTTGAGGCTGGGAGTCTCCAAAGTTCCTTGGGAATGAACATGAGTTTGGAAGTAACTGTCGGGTCCTTCGCCCAATAGTTGCCAGATACATTAACACCTGCTTCCAAAAAAGAAATGGAGTGCTTCAACTTAAAACTTTCTCTCTCTGGACTGAGTGCAGTGGCTCATGACTGTAATCCCAGCACTTCGGAGGCCAAGGCAGGCATATCACTTGAGGTCAGGAGTTCAAGATCAGCCTGGCCAACATGATAAAAGCCCGCCTCTACTAACAAAGCAAAAATTAGCCAGGTGTGGTGATGGGCAACTGTAGTCCCAGCTATTCAGGAGGCTGTGGCAGGAGAAAGCTTGAACCTGGGAGGCAGATGTTGCAGTGAGCAGAGACTGTGCCACTGCACTCCAGCCTGGGCCACAAGAGTGAAATTCCATCTCAAATAAAACAAAACAAAACCTTTCTTCTCTAAATAGACAAAACAAAAGAAAAATACACGTAGTAATCTTTGAGTTACCATTTTCTAAATCAAATTCCACCACAGGCACCTTGGTTAAAGCTAACATCCTTAAGCAGCGGCAAAGCACCACACTGCCAGGCAGCACCCAGACAGGGCCAAAAGCCTGCGGCGTCCCCTCCCACTGCTCTCCTTCCTAGACAGGCACATTCCACCCCACCCAAACATCCCACCTTTCCCAGCACTTCCAGGTCAGCTTAGCCCAGAAACAGTGACCCAGGGAAAGAGTGGATCAAGGAACACTCAAAACCAACTGGAAGTCCTCAACTGGGAGGCAGCTGTGCCCCTGGGTAATGAACTGTGATGCAGGAGCTCTGTGTGGGAACCTACTGCTACTGGAGAAAGAGCCAAGGGCCACTCCCTGACATCTCCATGTCCTCCCAGGCACCACTGATCACGAACTGGGGGATTCTGCTGAATAACCTCCTCCACTCCCATGAGAAAAATCAGCTCTAAGCCAGGCGCAGTGGCTCATGCCTGTAATCCCAGTACTTAGGGAGGCCGAGGTAGGTGGGTCACTTCACGTCAGGAGTTTTAGACCATCCTGGCCAACGTGGTGAAACCCTGTGTCTACTAAAAAATACATTAAAATTAGCCAGGCGTGGTGGCGTGTGCCTGCAATCCCAGTTACTCAGAAGGCTGAGGCAGGAGAATCACTTCAACCCGGGAAGTAGTGGTTGCAGTGAGCCAAGACCGTGCCACTACACTCCAGCTTGGGCAACAGAGCGAGACTCCATCCCCACCAAAAAAATCAGCTCTAATCCTTTACTCTGAACTGAGATGTCCAGGATGTCGTCTGCGATGGGGGTCAACAGCTACATGATGGAGCTTCCTAAATGCCAGCTGTTCTTCACTGTGTTCTTCACCATCATCCCAGTGAATGCAAATAACGCACTGACCACCCAGGGCCTGTGCAACACAGAGGGTCAGGCCAGGCAAGGAGGACCGCATCATCATTTCTCTCCCCAGGGGACTGTGACAAAGCAAGCCAGCCAAGGAGCTGCGGAGGTGCCTACCTGATGACACGAGTGTGGCCTTGTAAGGTTGTGCCAACTTCCCCGCTGCCGTCTTTCCACTTGTAAAGGTCCACCCGTTGGTTACTCTGAAAGGAAGGGAAGAAGGCCACAGGCGTGCACACTGGGGTAGCTGCTCTTGCCCCAGTCAGTTTAAGGCGGAAAAGAAGAAGCCAGGGATCTCACGCATGGCAGAGATCCTTCAGGCTGAACTCTTTTTTAAAAAGCCATCAGAAATAAGCACAATTAACATTAGCTTGAGCTAACTTCAGCTCAGTATGTAGGTCTGTGAATCTCAAAATGGAAAGGCAGGACTATCTTAAGATATCTTGAACAGTCACAGCTGAACTGAAGGTGCAGAATCACTTCTGCACACAAGCTTCATGGGCCAGGAAAATGTCCCAGCCACCAGAGGAACCTCCTCCCTCTGAAGGTCACACACTTGTCTTCTCCAGCTGCTGGCATACTGGATGTCTCCACCTCACCCTACCCCGATCAAATGCCCAGAGTCCACCTACCGCAGGTTTTTTTGTTTGTTTGTTTGTTTGTTTTCTTTTTTTCCTGTGATAGGGTCTATATTGCTCAGGCTTTTCTAGAACTCCTGGCCTCAAGCAATCCCCCTGCCTTACCGTCTAGCATAGCTAAGGTAACAGGACTGCGCCACCATACCTGGGTCCTATGACTCTTTTAAAACATAGGTGCAGCTGGGCGTGGCAGTTCACGCCACTAATCCCAGCACTTTGGGAGGCCGAGGTGGGAGGATCATGAGGTCAGGAGTTCCAGAACAGCCTGACCAACATGGTGAAACCCCACCTCTACTAAAAATACAAAACTTAGCTGGGCGTGATGTTGCACATCTATAATTCCAGCTACTCAGGAAGCTGAGGCAGAAGAATTGCTTGAACCCGGGAGGTGGAGGTTGAAATGAACCGAGATCGCATTACTGCACTCCAGCCTGGGTGAAAGATCAAGACTCCATTAAAAAACAAAAAACAAAAAACACCAACAACCACAGGTGCACAAGAGAGAAGAAAGAGGCTGGGTGTGGTGGCTCATGTCTGTAATCCCTGTAATCCCAGCACTTTGAAAGGCCAAGGCAGGAGGACTGCTTGAGCCCAGGAGTTCAAGACCAGCCTGAGCAACATAGCCAAATGAAGTCTCTACAAAAATAAAAATAAAATAAAAATGGCACATGCCTGTGGTCCCAGCTACTTGGGAGGCCAAGGTGGGAGGATCACTTGAGCCTGGGAGGTCGAGGCTGCAGTAAGGCATGATTGTGCCACTGCACTCCAGCCTGGGTGACACAGCAAGAGAAAGAAGGAAGGAAGGAAGGAAGGAAGGGAGGGAGGGAGGGAGGGAGGGAGGAAGGCAAAGAAAAGGAAAGAAGGAAAGAGGAAGGAGAGGAAGGGGATGGAAAGAAAAGAAAGAAAGAGAGAGAGGAGGGAGGGAGGAAGAAAGAGAAAGAGAGAGAAAAGAAAAGAAAGAAGAAAGACCATCAAAAGGGTGTCCTAGAAAAGAAAATTATTCAACGCTCCTTGAAATGTGCCTATATTTAATTTCTCAATGGGTTAAGCAGAAAGAGACGGGGAAAATGAACCAGAAGAAACCACAGGTACAACGGAAAAGAAACTTCCATCAAAGTACATTTCACATTTAACACAACCAAACAGCAAAGGCTCCCTACATATCATGAGTTTATGAAACACACTGAAAGTGATAAAGATTACCAAGAGACTGAGAACAATAGCAGGCCACTTAATAATTTCTGAACTGATATATACATAATAGACTGATTTTCATTTTAGCTCAGAGACAGACAGATGTATAGAATTCTGAGATTTTTATCCTGAAATACCAGTTTCCATATTGAAAAGGTAAGATTCTTGTGAAAAGGTTAGGATTCAAAATAGCTTCCAATGAGAATAGGAATGAAAAGAAAACTTCCCTCATCTTCTAATAATATTCCCTACCGTTTCTGGAGGGTCTGCTAGTGCCAGTCCACCTTAACGAATCTGGCCTCTGACCTCTTCCAGCACACACACAGTGGGTATCATCCCCCACATTATAGATGAGGCAAGCAAGGCTTAGAAGATAAAAGACTGAATGTTAAAAGTAGGACTTGACCTGACCGGGCACGGTGGCTCATGCTTGTATTCCCAGCACTTTGGGAGGCTGAGGTGGGCAGATCACAAGGTCAGGAGTTCGCAACCAGCCTGATCAACACGGAGAAACTCCATCTCTACTAAAAATACAAAATTAGCCGGGTATGGTGGCACATGCCTTTAACCCCAGCTACTTGGGAGAATCGCTTGAACACAGGAGGCGGAGGTTATGATGAGTCATGATCGTGCCATTGCACTCCAACCTGGACAACAAGAGTGAAACTCTATCTCAAAAAAACAAACAAACGACAACAAAAAAAACAACTAGGACTTGACCTCAGATTTGCCTAATAAAGATTTCTCAAAAGGTTGCCTTCTGGCCAGGCACAGTGGCTCATGCCTGTAATCCCAGCACTCTGGGAAGCTGAGGCAGGTGGATTATTTGAGGTCAGGAGTTCAAGACCAGCCTGGCCTACATGGTGAAACCCCGTCTCTACTAAAAATTAGCCAGGCATGGTGGCGCAAACCTGCAGTCCCAGCTACTTGGGAGGCTGAGGCCCGAGAAGTCCTTGAACCTGGTAGGCAGAGGCTGCAATGAACCGATGGCGCCACTGCACTCCATCCTGGGCAACAGAGCAAGATTCCATCTCAAAAAAAAAAAAAGTTGCCTTCCAACCAAGAACAAAAGAAAAAAATAGGTAAATTAAACTTCATCAAAATTAAAGCTTTTGTGTATCTAAGAACACTATCAGGAATGCAAAAAAGACAACCAACAGAAGGGGAGAAAACATTTGCAAATAATACATCTGATAAAGGTCTAATATCCAGAATATATAAAAAACTCCTACAACTCAACAGTAAAAATGCAAACAACCCAATTCAAAAAAGGCCAGAGGCCTTGAATAGACATTTCTCCAAAAAAATTACATATACGTGGCCAATAAGATACTCAACATCCTTAGTCACTGGAGAAATGTAAATTAAAACCATAACAAAATACCACTTCACACCCACTAGGATGGCTATTTTTTTAATATAAAAAATAACAAATTTTGGAGAGGTTGTGGAAAAATTGGAACTCTGTGCATTGCTGATGGGAGTATAAAACATTTAGCCACTTTGGAAAAGAGTTTGGTGTTTCCCTCTAAAAGTTAAACACAGAATTACCATATGACCCTGCAATTCCACTCCTAGGTGTATACCCAAAAGAAGTGAAAACAAGTACAGCCATACATATGTTCATACCACCTCTGTTCAATAGGCACCCAAATGTCCTCTGATGGATGAATGGACAATTATACAACGGAATATTATTCATTCATAAAAAGGAAAAAAGTTCTGATACCTGCTGCAACATGGATGAACCTTAAAACATTATGCTGAGTAAAAGAAGTCAGGGGCTAGGCACGGTGGCTCACGCCTGTAATCCCAGCATTTTGGGAGGCCAAGGCAGGCAGATCACCTGAAGTTAGGCATCTGAGACCAGCCTGGTCAACATGGTGAAACCTGTCTCTACTAAAAATACAAAAAAATTTGCCGGACGTGGTGGCGAGTGCCTGTAAGCCCAGCTATATGGCAGGCTGAGGCAGGAGAATCACTTGAACCCAGGAGGTGGCGACTGCAGTGAGCTAAGATCGCGCCATTGCACTAAGGCCTGAGGATAAGAGCAAAATTCTGTCTCAAAATAAATTAATTAATTAAATAAGTCAGACATAAAAGGTCACTTATTTTATGATTTCATTTCTATGAAAGATCCAGAATAGATCAATCCGTTGAGAGAGAGCGCAGACTGGTGGTTGCCAGGAGTCACAAGGGAGGGAGGAATGGGAAGAAACTGCTTAATGAGTAAGGAGCTTTACCCTGGAGGGACAGAAATGTTGGAGAACTGGAGAGAGGTGATGGTTATACAACAGTGTGAACGCAGTGAAGGATACTGAATTTTCACTTTAAAATGATTAATTGTGAAAGAACAAATAAACGAAAAAGGCCGTCTTTGTTAGCATTCCCGGACAAATGCAGTGTTAATCCACTGAGTACAACTACTGAGGCATCAGCCTAAACCTACGTTTCCCAATCAGAGGTGACTTTGCTTTGCAGAGGACATCTGACAGAGTCCGGAGATATTTCTGATTGTCATAACAAGGGGCGGGAAGGATACTACTGAGCTCTAGGTAGGGACCCAGGATGCTACTGAACTTCTACAATGCACTGGATAGCCCCATGACAAAGAATGACCTAATAAGCCAATAGTGCCAAGGTTAAAAAACCCTGGACCAGACGATCAGGGGCTGAGGGTGAGAGGGGAATAAGGATCCAGAGTTATAAACCAACCAAAAGAGCTCCCTCTATCACCCAGGAAACAGGCTGAGAGTGGAAAGGCAGGAAGACTTACTCTCCCTTTCTCTTTCAGAATAGCCCTGAAAATCAGCGCAACCTTGGACATGCACAGTTCAAGTCAAATCCTATTTTGCAAATGGCTGGGAAGGGCGGCTTTCTGATCCTTCTCAAGCTGACAAAGTTCTTTCTTTGCTCAGATGCCTTCCTTCTGCAGACTGCCTTTCCTGACAAGAACGGAGACAGACTGTACAGTGGTCCCGCCTCTGGTGAATCAGAAGGATTCTTGTAAATACTTTCCTGCCAGCCCAATGTAAAAAGAGCAAAAAGTTTAGACCTCTCATTATTCTAGAAGAATAGAGTGTGACACAGAATCTGAAGAAAGATGCCAGAGAGGTTCTAGCCCAGAATCTTTTTGAGTCATGAATCCCTTTTATTAGGTTTTATTAGAAAACCTAATAAAACTTACACATTTTCTCTGCGGAAAAAAATTACACATAACAGGCACATAAAACCTGATGAGGTTAACGAAATCTAATGATTCTCAATCAAAGAAGAATCCCTTCCTTTGAATGGAAGGGTAGGGGGAGTCTTCTTATCCCTCTGAGAGCAATGAAGGTCAACTCCACACCAGCTCCCCGGTTACCCTCCTTAGAATGTCTTTCAGAGTCATCTGCCATTTGTCCACTGGCTCGTTACAGTGCGGCTGACGAAACAGGTTCTCACCACTCACAGTAATGGATGCATTTGCCTGCTTCCCTTTCAAAATCTGGATTCAGTCCCTAGAAACACAAGGCCTGACACCAATGGGACCAGCGAGCATTCCCATGTATATTTAATCGGTAACTTGCCTCTGTCTTTCTTTCAAAACCATCCAAACCTCTTTTCCAACTGAGCAATGAGGATTGTATTCTCTTCTCTACACAGGACATAGATCCGCCAGCCCCAGATGACACAATTAACAGCATTCTCCTGTATTCCTTAAATAAGCTCACCGAAGCTGCAAAATAGTGTGCAAAGCTGTCATGAGGATTCCACTGCACAGCTCCAATGTCCCATTTGCTCTGGCGAGAGATCTTTCGGTGACCTTCGAAAGGAGCATCTAGATTGACGATGTATAAGAATCTGCGACTAGAGACCAATATCAACATTATAATAGTATAAAAACACGACATCATTGGCATTAATATAGAAAAGCACAATTGGAATTGCTTACAATTTGCAAGCAGTGCTCCAAAAAACCCAAACACACATGGCATTTATTTACTCTGAAAGGCAAAGAAGTGACAACAGTAACTTAAGGTGGCTGTCAAAGGGAAGAAGTATCCCTGTGAGAGTCCCACCTCCAGAGATGGCCTTCCGTACCACATCCATCCATAAGAGTTTGGTCCTCCCCTGGATTCAGCTCCAACCTACCCTTCTCCCAGCCTTTCCCAACATCCCCACCTGCCACTACCACTAAGGTTAATTACTAAATTAATCAATTCCACACTACTCCAATTGCATGGTCTACATTTTGACCACAGAATTGATCTCTATAGCAGGACTACTAATGTTAAGACTCTTGTCCTGAGTCAGCTAAGCATTCACAGTATGAACCATGTCTTCAATATTTTTTTTTTCTTTTTTTGAGACAGTCTCACTCTGTCACCCAGGCTGGAGTGCAGTGGTATGATGTCGGCTCACTGCAACCTCCACTTCCCAAGTTCCAATCGAGTAGCTAAGATTACAGGCACCCACCACCATGCGTGGCTAATTTTTGTATTTTTCGTAGAGACAGAGTTTCTCCATGTTGGGCTGGCTGACCTCAAACTCCTGACCTCAGGTGACCCACCCACCTCAGCTTCCCAAAGTGCTGGGATTACAGGTGTGAGCCACCGCACCCGGTCATCTTGAATATCTTTGTATGCTTCACATTACTAGGCACAGCGCTCTGTACTCAACAAATGTGAGTTAAATTAAACATATAACTTTTTTCTTTTGAGACAGAGTTTCACTCTTATTGCCCAGGCTGGAATGCAATGGTGTGATCTCGGCTCATTGCAACCTCCTCCTTTCAGGTTCAAGCAATTCTTCTGCCTCAGCCTCTGAAGTAGCTGAGCTTAGATTAAAAGTATGTGCCACCATGCCCACTAATTTTGTATTTTTAGTAGAGATGGGGTTTTTCCATGTTGGTCAGGCTGGTCTTCAACTCCCAACCTCAGGTGATCTGCCCACCTTGGCCTCCCAAAGGGCTGAGACTACAGGTGTGGGCCACTGCACGCAGCTAAACATATAACTTATTACTAAGACAAAATCCTGTAGAAGTAGAAAATCTCAAAATTCCCCTGTAAGTTGACTACTCCCTGGTCAAGAGAACTAAACTATATCTATTAGGAGGGGAACTAACAATAACAAAAAGGAATAATAATGAAACTAACACATTAAGTGCCAGTAACGTTCAAGGTGCCAACCAATATGAATGATCTGAAAACAGGGAGGTCCTACATTCACCTATTTTCTTTTTTTTTTTTTTTGAGACAGAGTGCCGCTCTTGTTACTGAGGCTGGAGTGCAATGGCACGATCTCGGCTCACCGCAACCTCCGCCTCCTGGGTTCAAGCCATTCTCCTGCCTCAGCCTCCTGAGTAGCTGGGACTACAGGCACGCACCACCATGCCCAGCTAATTTTTTGTATTTTTAGTAGAGACAGGGTTTCACCACGTTGACCAGGATGGTCTCGATCTCTCGACCTCGTGATCCGCCCGCCTCGGCCTCCCAAAGTGCTGGGATTACAGGCTTGAGCCATCGGCGCCCGGCCCACCTGTTCTCTTTTTAAGTAAAATACCCTTGGTGTGTGAATCAACATCACTGCAGCCATCAGGTTTTGATTCTTTCCTAGAGACCACTCAAAGCCTGTGGAGATCAATGAGAACAGGTAGGCTCCAAAATAAAGGAAAAGATTAATCATCCCTCCTCAGAAGAGCCAGGAAATGGCATACAAACTCTATGTGGTAGCAGAAACTCTGAGAAGAGATGATGGATTCGAAGAAGAAAAGCCAGGGGAAAACACAATTTCACAGAACTTCCAGGACTTCTAAGAAAGTTCAGAACAAGTCTGGGCACAGTGGTCCAAACCTGTAATTCCAACACTTTGGGAGGTCGAGGCGGGTGGAACCTGAGGTCAGGAGTTCAAGACCAGTGTGGCCAATATGGTGAAACCCTGTCTTTATTAAAAAGACAAAAATTAGCCGGGCATGGTAGCGTATGCCTGTAGTCCCTAGGTCTTCACAGGACTGCCTGGCCTGCCACATCTCTTCTTAGAGAGACGAATTCCGTTTTCTAAATGCTGGGACATTCAGGAAGTTCTCCTCCCTCCCCTCTAAGGGGCTTACGAGAAATCACCAAATTAAAAGCCTATCTAACCCAGTGGGGCTTTTGAGTATGTGGGTTTGTGTTTGCAGAGTTACAGAGCAGCAGTACGCAAAAAAGAGGTACTACCATTACCACTGGCAGTACTACCACATGCTAGATATCACCAAGTGCAAGGAGAAGGAAATCTTGTGCATACGTGGAGCCAAAATGCAGTGGAGGATTCCTGTTCGGAAGAGCTACTCGAAGGCTGAGGCAGGAGAATCGTTTGAACCCGTGAGGCGGAGGTTGCAGTGAGCCGAGATCGCACCACTACACTCCAACCTGGGCGACGGAGCAAGATTCCGTCTTACAAAAAAAAAAAAAAAAAAAAAAAAGAAAGAAAATCACAGAACAAAGATCACTTAGAATCTCTGGCCTCCTTCAAAGGAATCACCTGATCCTGCGATGGCTGGCAGGCATCGTCCCATCAGAAGAACAACTGCACAAGGCTAGTAGGTATACATATGAGGTGTGCATCAATATGGGGGTGCAGACACCTTACAGAGCAAATATAAAAGAGCAGAAAGTGGGCACTTCAGGGTAAACATGCCTGATAGAACACAGGTGTTTATCTTCATTTTCCCCAACGCTCCACTACAATAAGAGTAAAGAAAGACAAAAAAACCTCCAAAGGCAAAGAAAATGAGATAGGAAATGAAAAGCAGATGGACAAATGGTAACTGAGCTAAAGAAAGCTAAGTAGGCCGGTGCGGTGGCTCACGACTGTAATCTCAGCACTTTGGGAGGCCGAGGTGGGCGGATCACCTGAGGTCCAGAAGTTGGAGACCAGCCTGGCCAACATGGTAAAACCCCGTCTCTACTAAAAATACTAAAAAATTAGCTAGGCATGGTGACAGGCAGCTGTTAATTCTAGCTACTCAGGAGGCTGGGGCATGAGAATTGTTTGAACCCGGGAGGCAGGGGTTGCAGTAAGCCAAGATTGCACCACCTCACTCCAGGCTTGGTGACAGACTGAGACTCCATCTCAAAAAAAAAAAAAAAAAAAAAAAAAAGGGTAAATAAAGTCGAAGTTCGTGGAGAGAGAAGTGAGTGTGAAGCAAGCTGCTCCCCCCACAACTGGAGGCTGTAGTCTCAAAACAAGAGCAAGGGGTAGGGCTGGAAGACAACACGCAAAACAAAGCTAGGAGAGCTGTGTGTGAAAGAGCACTAAGGAGAGGGTTACATGCAACCCATCCAGCCAGGTGGCTGCCTCAGTGGAGCGTGGGTGCTCTTCTCCCCTAGAGCAGCCCCAGACCTGGGAAGTGCAAAGTGCTGTACTCAAATCTTCCTCTATGCGGCAGAGACTAACACAACCAAAATAAAACAAGGCTTTATGGTTGGACGAAGCAGCTCACATTTTAAAGTCTCAGCGCTATAAGCTGAGGCAGAAGGATCGCTTGAGGCCTGGAGTTCAAGACCAGCCTGGTCAACATGGCAAGACCCTATCTGTACAAAAAAATTGATAATAAAATTAGCCAGATGTGCTAACATGTGCCTGTAGTCCCAGCTACTGAGGAGGCTGAGGCAGGAGGATTGCTTGCCCAGTAGTTCAAGGCTGCAGTGAGCCATGATTACACCACTGAGCTCCAGCCTGGGTGACAGAACAGAAAAAGAAAAAGAAAGAAAAAACTCCTCTCTTGCCTCCCCACTACCCTCCAAAATAATAGTAATAAAAAGAAAAAGGAAAAAGGATGAAGAAGAGAGGGAATGCAAAGGAAACAGAGATAAACACAGGAGAGAGGCCGGGCGCAGTAGCCCACACCTGTAATCCCAGCACTTTGGGAGGCCGCGGTGGGTGGATCACTTGAGGCCAGGAGTTCTAGACCAGCCTGGCCAACACGGTGAAACCCTGTCTCTACTAAAAATACAAAAATCAGCCAGGCATGATGGCGCACATCCATAATCCCAGCTACTCGGAAGGCTGAGGCTGGAGAATCGCTTGAACCCGAGAGGCACAGGCTACAGTGAGCCAAGATTGTGCCACTGCACTCCAGCCTGGGCAACAGAGCCAGATTCCATCTCCAAGAAGAGAAAAAATCTTGGAATTAATATTCTGGAAGAGTTAAGAGACAATATAAATAATAATAAACATTAAAATAATAGTTGAAATTTTTTGAAAATTAAAATAGTATTTGAACTTTAAAAATCTGATGGTAGTGGCCAGGTGCAGTGGCTCACACCTATAATCCCAGCACTTTGGGAGGCCGAGGCAGGTGGATCACGGGGTCAAGAGATTGAGACCATCCTGGTCAACAAGGTAAAACCCCGTCTCTACTAAATTAGCTGGGCATGGTGGCACGCATCTGTAGTCCCAGCTACTCAGGAGGCTGAGGCAGAAGAATTGCTTGAACCCAGGAGGCAGAGGTTGTGGTGAGTCAAGATCGTGCCATTGCACTCCAGCCTGGGTAACAAGAGTGAAACTTCATCTCAAAAAGAAAAAAAAAAATCTGATAGCAGTGTTAGAAGCTAAATTTAAAACTCCCAGAATGTAAAAGAGACAAAAAGGCCAAAAGAAAAGTCATATAGGATACCCAACACTGACTACTAATAGGAATTCCAAAAAGAAAGAAAGAGAAGAAAAAAATGAGGCTGGGCATGGTGGTACACACCTGTAATCCCAGCACTTTGGGAGGCTGAGGTGGGCAGATCATCCGAGATCTGGAGTTTGAGACCAGCCTAGCCAACATGGCAAAATCCTGTCTCTATTAAAACTACAAAAATAGCCGGGCGCGATGGGTG